CTCATAAATAAGAAACATAATTTGAATTAGTTTCTCGACTTTTATCAATATCTTGTCTTGATAGAGTTATTGATTAGGAACTTTTTAAAATGATGATATAATTTATTAAAATTTCATAATTATAACTCTTTATAATTTTTTTTGTAAAGCATATTCCTTATAAGGATTTTATCTAATTAAGTTTACATCAATAATTGTAGGCATAATGGTTGAGAAAAAATCCCTAAATTATTCAAAAACTCAAATAAATCTTTTTTTCCTTTTATTCCTTCAATTAATCTCATATATTTTTATTTTAAATTAACTAAGCTTTTTATAGTTAATAATTAATTAATTATTATTAATCCAAATAATACTCATCGTTATATATTTACGTAACACTGATATAAAAGTTAAAAAAGTCATATATCATATTATCAAACCATATTAGTATGTTATATCATTATTCATTATAACATATTAGTATGTCACCACATTGACACGTGATGCAGAATAACAAATAATATTTTAATTAATAATTTATTTAATTTAAAATAAAAAATATAAAATTTTAAATAAATATAATAAAAGAATAAATATTTAATTGAACTTTCTTAAATAGTTCAAAGTCTTTTTCAAACATCACGTCATAATTATAAGAACTCATCCGTAAAGTACATTTTATTAGGCTAAATGCACTAACCAACATTAATGTCAAAGAAGAAAAACAATAAATTTTTTTTTAAAAAAATAAAATAAAAATAGCATTCTTAGGTTACTCTAGTTTCTTAGCTACAAAAAGAAAAGAAGAAAAGGAAAATCCAGTTTACGGTATAACCATCGCTGTCAAAGTGAGTTATATCAGCTTCCACAAAAACTGAATCAAGAAGCAAGTCGTCATCCGCCCACCCATTGTTGGGAATCCTTTCTACTTAAAAGAGACAGCTCAAGTCAAACTTTCTTGTCAGCTTATTCTTTTTCATATCAAGATTAGGATGACGAGGTCATACACGTGGCACTTCCTGATTGCATCATCTAAATTTCCTTGCCTTTGATTGGAGGATAATCAGAGGACCCATTCAATGGATCCACTGGGGATGCCTTTGTCTCCACTTTGTCTCCCGCTTCTTTCCCCTCCCCCGCAATCAAACCCTCGAACATCTCCTTCTTTTTGTACTTGAATATCACAAAAAAAAAAAAGGAAAACCAAAGTCCACAACAAATATCATCTACATGCCTCATTCTTTAAGATTGACTTTTTCCCGCCGACCAACCAATATAATTTTGCCAAGTGTCACGATCAGACCCAAGACCTCTAGTCAAATGGCTTTTTTTATTTATTATTATTCCTTATTATTTACTACAAATTATTTCCCTTTGGGGTGGTTTTGTGAGGCCAAAGTTCTAATTCATCATCGAGTTATATAGGAAGTTGTGTTTATTTATATACTTTGCCCTGTCTACTATATATTTCCTCTGGTTTATTTAGGTGAGACCATGACCACTCATATCATTGACATTTCTTCCAACTTCATTGGAAAAACAATTTTAATATTTAGTGTTGGGATATGTTAAAGTCCTTCATATTGATCAATGAAAGGCTGAAAGGTGGTGTGTGTTAATTTGTTTTAAGTATTGCTTACATGAAGGAATGTTCAAGATTCTTTTTATTGTACATTTTGTATATTTAGATGGGTTTTTCTAGTTTGTTCAGGTGATGTTATCACTGCTAAATACATCTTGCTAACGGTCTAATTAGGATTATTTCTGTAACTTTCTAATCACCTATTAATATGGTTCTAGTTGACAAAAATATTTTAGTTTTGTCTCTCATATAAATCGTGTTTTATTTAGTAATCGATATATGTATAGGTTTTCTCACCTGATTAGTAGTGACTTTATAATTTTATGATTATTTATGATTTTTTGGATTTGTTTAAGTGATGTTATTACTGTGAGATGGATCTTGCTAAGCATTTGGTTAACATTGATTTGTAACATTTTGGTTACCTATTAATTAATATGACTTTGCGAGATAAAATTTCATCTCCCATATAGATCATGTCTTATTTAGTGGCCGATAAATATATAGAGTTTGGGAAGACATATTTATTAATTTAGTACTATAATGGGGCATGAAAGGAAAAAAAAAAAAGAGGATAAACTTAAAGCCAATCAAAAAAAAAATTGGGACATCATTCCCATTTTGTGTTCTGTTGTTTAATAACACCGACAACCTTTTGACTTTGGTTTTCTTGTCTTTGTATTGACCCACATTAAACCTACAATATAATAATAATAATAATCCCTTCGCATTCTTTTTTCACCAAATGCAGGGCACACCTACCCTCTCGGTCGGCATTTTCCTTTTTCATTTTCTCTAAACTTTTAACTTTAAGAATAAATGGGCCCCTGCCAATTTGTGGGTTTATTTGTCTTTTTTTAAAATGAAATTAGTAAAAATTATTACTATTTTTTTTTCTTTTCATACAACAAATTTTAATCCATGTTGATGTTAATATAATCCAATTTGTTAGTTGTAACAAGATGTTCGAGAATGATACAATCATAATAGTGTTAATGTACCAGATCTCATCAGAATTTTGCAATTAAACGTGTTTAGATAGAAGAATTACTAGAATGTATATTAATATTTTGTGTTATATTTTTTTTCTTTTTATTGAGAAAAACTAAACAAGATATTTGAGAAATAAAATAATTATTATAAATATAACATGAAAAGTGTTTCATTTTGTAATTGCGGGTGATTAGATGAGAGTAGTATTAAGATAAGTGACTTCTTGAAAAGTTCTCTTTTGCATCTCTTTTATATTTTATTGAGAAAAAAATTCCAATAAAATAATTAATTACATACATATAGCAGATTTCAATTAATTTTGACAAAAATCAAATTGATTTAAATATTGTTATTTAAGTCTTGAGATTAATTATTCAAATTAAAATTTTTTATTTGAATAATTAATTAAATGATAAAATTATGAATTACGAAATATATCATAAAAATTTGTGTTTTAATTCTAAATAATAATTTTATTTGAGTATTTAATGATACTAAAAAATCTATCTGAAAAAAGAAAAAGGAAAAAGAAGGAAATAATTGGGTTTGAGAGGTCCATTTTGATCTCTCTGCTCTCATTCCTCTTTCTCTCATATTTACCTTTTTGCCACCCCATATCTTCTTCAGTCCCCACTCCTTCGATTCTCGTCTCACTTTTCCTTCACTACAATTCACACTTTCTGCATCGAAAAGCCTTCACATTTTCTTCCTCCCTTACCCACTTTCTTGAATCTTGGAAAAGGGAGATGAAGCAGAAAAAGAAGAAAAAGGTTTTTTTTTTAAATAATATTTCCTAATTTAAATACTGTTTAATAAGCTGAAAACTTTAACACTGAAATAGAAGATTTTTAATGAAAAAATGTTGAAAATTTTTAATAAATAAAAGCTACTTAAATGTATTTGTTGATTTCTCTTATGTCACATTTGATTTGACTCGACATATCAATTTTTTTTAGATGAAAAATAGCAAAGTATGATCTTATTGACCTGCATCTTTAAAAGCAAAAATATGGGTAGAAGTGGTTTGATTGAAGGTACCTTTAGATAGATCGGAACGGATGATTTCTACCTCGAGAGGATGGTTCGGCTAAGGGTTTAATTATTATGTAGCTATGGTAAAGCATAAAGCAATAAAAGTAACCAAAATACCACAATATTTGATAGAATAATCATATAGAACATAAAATTTATATAGAATGCTCGATGAAATGGGACTTGGAACGTGAAATTTGAGCAAACATGACTGTCAACGTGCTGGGCTGGATTGAAATATTGGTTAGGATGATTGAGTGTTTGAAAGCCAAGGGTTAGGATGGTTGAGCTTGAGTTGAGTTGCAAAGGATTTCTATTTGTTAAGGTTCCTCTTATATATTTATAGATGTAAGTATCAAATTTTGGAACTTAAATTTAGATAATTAATAAAATAATTTAAATTTATGAAATAAATATAATTGAAAAATAAGGGTTCAAAGGCTCAATATCTTCCCCTCTCGTTCGGACAGTGTCGGTAGATAATTTCACCTCAATAGAACTAAAAATTGATTAAAAACAAATTAAATTTTCATCTATATTTTCTTCGTTTTAAATTGAATGTTTATTTTCCAAATGAAATAAAATTTCAAATAAGACAAAAAGGGAACGGAATCTATATACTTATATTTATATATATTTTATGAAATGGGAAAAGGAAATAACAAGCAATACATGCATGTGCACCAAGTTTTAAAAGTGGATAAATAAAAAGGTATCCATTCCACGTTAGTTTGAAAGTAAAAAAATATGGGCTACCACATAACACATACTACCTTGTTACGTACGTTTAATTCAATTATTCAAGAGACTACAAAACGACAATAGAATAGTTTGACCATTAAATATTTTCTTTATATTTATTTAAAAAAATTCGAAATTTAACTTTGTTTTATCATGAGTAATAATACATCGAATATAAAATAGATTTATATTTAATGCAGATCAATGTTAAATGACATATCAGTATATTCGTGACGGTTCATTAAAAATGTATAATTTATAGAATTCATTAATGATTATTGTTATCTTAACCAAATTAACAATTGTCACGTGGGATTAACCATTAACAAATATTATTTTGCATTTATTAATTCTCTTTGACAATAATCATTAAAATAAATAAAATAAATATTTAATTTGAAACCGAATTAAATAATTATCTTCGAAAATGAGAAAGGAAAGGACATAATGGTGCTAGGAAATAAGAGGACCTATTGAATGTGGACCACAAGGGCAAAATAAAAAGGGGGAAATCATATGGCAAAGGAATACAACGCACACGCTCCTTTTCAAAGAGTGTGGAAAACATGCTGTAATTGTTGGATAAGCAGTACATTATATTAGCAGCAAGGTGTTAGCCACATGGTCAGAGTGCGTGTGGGGCTTAAACTCGTCCAAGGCAGTTCCATTAATTTCAGTAGAATCTAGGAAGGAAGGGGAGAGGGGATTGGCTTTCGCCATTGGCCTTGTGGGGATTATAAATTTAGGACACAACCCACTTTGGCTGCCTCAAATTCAGCACGGAGTAAGAAAAACAAATCAGCTTCCCCGTTTCCCTTGCTTTGCTTTGTAAAGAGACTACTTTTTATCAGAGAGAGAGAGAGGAGAGAGGAGTGCAAATGGAAGAAAGTAGAAGGAATAACAAAGTGTGGGTGACGGAAGAAGAGAGCACAGTTGATTGGAGAGGCAGGCCTTCCAACCCGAACAAGCATGGCGGCATGAGGGCTGCTGCATTTGTTCTTGGTCTGTTCTCTTTCTCTCCCCCTCCTACCCCTTTTTCTTTTTTAATTATTAATAAGAATATTTGTTTGTAACTGAGTTGAGTATCTTGTTTCTCTTCAATAAAGTTGGTTGTAATCATACGTACTATTGCCCTCCGCCAACCTGTCTATATTAGTTTCCTCCATATCTGTCTTTATTTATTTTCCATATCCGTCTATATTTTTTTCCATTGGTAACTATATATTACTACTTACTACTTGTTTTCACTTGAACCTATAATATATTTCTCTCTCTTTTTACACTCCATGAGATACCGATGGAGTAAATCTTTTTTACACTACTACAGTTGTCATATATACTCTCTGGTCATAATTGAGTGCTAATTTTGGTGAGGGGGGATGAATTTTGCAGGGCTCCAAGCATTTGAGATAATGGCAATTGCAGCAGTAGGGAACAACCTTATAACATATGTGATAAATGAGATGCACTTCTCCCTCTCAAAGTCAGCAAACATAGTGACAAACTTTGTTGGAACTATCTTCCTGTTGGCCCTCCTTGGTGGTTACCTCTCAGACTCTTATCTTGGGAGTTTCTGGACCATGCTTATCTTTGGCTTTGTGGAGCTTTCTGTAAGCTTTCCTGATCTTCACTCCACCATCTTCTTTTCGTTTCTGTTTTGCTTTTTTCTCCTTCCCTTTTTGTCTCTCTCTCTCTCTCTCTTTCTAATTTCTCAATCCTTTAAAGATAGTGGCTTAACTTTTCGTATGCAGTTGAAGTTTGGCAAGCACTGTAGCCTTTTTTGTTAAATTAAAAGTGAAACTCATGTGAATTAATATTATGGCAATCTATATTAATTTGTTTATTACACATTATTTGTGGGCAAAAAACCCAAAAAAAAAAACTGTAGGGTTTCATATTACTGTCAGTCCAAGCTCATCTTCCCCAACTAAAGCCACCAAAGTGCAACATGGTGATTGATGGAGAGGATTGCGTGGAAGCAAAGGGCTTCAAGGCCTTGATTTTCTTTGTTGCACTGTACTTAGTGGCATTAGGAAGCGGATGTGTTAAACCCAACATGATTGCTCATGGAGCAGATCAATTCAATCAAACCAACCCCTCGCAGTCCAAGAAGCTGTCAACCTACTTCAATGCTGCCTATTTCGCCTTCTCCATGGGTGAACTCATTGCCCTGACTATTCTAGTGTGGATCCAAACTCATGCCGGTATGGATGTTGGGTTTGGAGTCTCTGCAGCCGCCATGGCGATGGGACTCATCAGCGTGGTTTCTGGGACACTGTATTACAGGAACAAGCCTCCTCAAGGAAGCATCTTCACCCCCATTGCTCAAGTAATAAACTCAAATCTCATGCTTCTCATTTCTCTTTTGTTTTCCGCATGCACACGCACACGCGCAACGAATTTATTCTTGTGAGCATTTTTAGTTTTATTAACATAAATGTTTTTCTTGCTGTGCTTTAGATTCTTGTGATTAGTAGCCTTGCATTTTTATTCACTTGGTGCATGTTTGGTTGGAAAGAATAATTATTTTATTTTTTATTTGATTTACGGACTGATTATTTCAAAATATATCAAAATAGTTATTACTGAGTTTCCTCGATAACACTTATTCCATGAGTCACGGAATATGTATATTATAATTATATTGCACATGTTGTTTAGTTAAGGAAAAGTAATATGTGGTTTGTTAAAGAGAAAATTATAAAGTTGTCTTTTCAATTATACTATTATGAAATATAGAATCTTGCACATATAATATTGGACTATATCTATAATCTCACTCATAATATTATTAATTATGAATACTAATCCACTGGACTATTCTGATTTTTCTTAATTACTTGGACATATTTCTTCAGGTATTTGTGGCGGCCATATTAAAGAGAAAGCAAATTTGTCCATCGAATTCTAACCCTCAGATGCTTAATGGAAAACAAAACGGCATGCCCAACAGATCAGCATCAGTTTCACATCTGCATTCTGAATCTGGCAATGTGCTTCACACCCAGAGGTTCAGGTAATTAGTCTGGCATATTTGTCACAATCCCACTATCCTAATTCACTTGTTTTTCATTAATGCTTTGAGTGTTGTGTTCTGAATCAAGCTAGTTTTGGATTTTTAGTACCCCTACATGTTGTGAAAGGTTAGGTTTCCTAGCTAGTGCAACTCAGACTGGATTTTATCTTGTTTGTTAATTACTACATGCATCTTTCCACACTAAAAAATCCGTAGTTAATTAGAAACTTGGGTTTCTCACATTATGGCAGGTTCTTGGACAAGGCGTGCATCAAAGTTCAAGATGGGAGTAATACAAAGGAAAGTCGGTGGAGACTGTGCAGTGTTGCCCAAGTGGAGCAAGTGAGGATATTGCTTTCAGTTATCCCAATATTTGCTTGTACCATTGTTTTCAACACCATTTTGGCTCAGCTCCAAACATTCTCAGTCCAACAAGGAAGTGCTATGGACACCCAGCTGACCAAGTCTTTCCATATCCCTCCAGCTTCCCTTCAGTCCATCCCTTACATCATGCTCATCTTCATAGTCCCTCTATACGACAAATTCTTTGTCCCCTTTGCAAGAAAATTTACTGGTCATGAATCCGGAATTTCTCCTCTACTCAGGATCGGCTCGGGTCTTTTTCTCGCAACGTTTTCCATGATTGCTGCAGCCCTGATGGAGAAGAAGAGAAGGGACGCGGCCGTGGGTTCGGGCGAAATAATATCCATCTTTTGGATCACCCCGCAGTTCTTAATCTTCGGAATATCAGAAATGCTTACTGCAGTTGGCCTCATCGAGTTCTTCTACAAGCAGTCCTTGAAAGGGATGCAAGCATTTTTGACAGCCATAACCTATTGCTCTTACTCATTCGGCTTCTACTTGAGCTCAGTGCTTGTTTCCCTGGTGAATAAGATCACATCATCAGGTTCTTCCAAAGGTGGTTGGCTTAGTGATAACGATCTCAACAAGGACAGGCTCGATCTTTTCTACTGGTTGCTAGCGGTCCTTAGCTTTCTAAACTTCCTAAACTATCTCTTCTGGGCTAGATGGCATTCTAATTCTTCCCCATCAGGCACCGCACAGAATGAGGCAGTTGAGGCTGGCGAGTTGAGCCATTTCAGCTTGATGAGACTTTCAAAAGATGTTGGAGATGAGAATATACCATGAAATGAAACTGTATACATATATATCTGATCTGAAGGAAATTATCTACTCCTATCTTGTATTTGAGATAAACCAGAGAATATATTTATGATACCATGCAAAAAGGCTATTTAATTAAGACGTTTACAGGCTTTGTAAAGAAGTGTAGAAGATAGAGGGCCATCGTAATTAGCTTGTTAGTTATGTTAGATTAAGCGTTTTAGAAGAAGTAAGGTGTTTCAATTCTATATCGAACAAAAAAAGGGATCCTGATAAATTTAATTATAAAGGTAAACATCACACATCCTATCAAGTTAATTTTTTGAGAAGAAGGTAATATCTCATGATACTTAAGAGGTAGATGAAAACAAAGTAAATCTTGTTTCTAGCTTTTTCACTAAAGTCGGTGTGTCGTCAACATAGTATTAATGAATATGATATCAATCATAGGTAATTAGTAGGTAATCAAAATACTGTTTTTCAATGGTTTCGTAAAGAAGATGCGCATATCTAGTCAAGGGTCCCAATAGATCTATCAATTTTGGTCTTGACTCATTTGCAAGGATTCAATGCATTCTCCTAGTGTTTGGCTTTTATCCACATATATATCAACCGTCATTCGTTCTTCATGAAAGAGCACCTTATTGCTTTCTTTGAATGACAGGAAAGGAATATGCAAGTAGCTAGTGGAGACCTAGCCAAATACTTTCTCGCTATAAGGAATGAGGGGTCCTTTTGTATATTTAGAGGGAGAGAGATAGCAGATCTAGCAACTATGATGTGATGCATGAATATGAAACATAATTAAGCTCCCATTGATAAGTCAAAAGGGCAAAAGTGACCTATGAAAAGGAAAGACACCCATTAAGGAATTTAGTAGAGAAGTGGTCTGCATGTTCTTGTTACCATCTGCTGAGAAACATGTCTCAAACATGTCCTGAAGTTGGAGCTTGGCCCCCTCCTGCATGATACTTCACCATCAGTCACCACTGGGTGTAAAAATCTATCAAAATGTTTGCTAAAAGACTGACATGGGAACCCACAAATGCATATAACATTGTTGCCCCGAGGAATGGAGCTGCATTTTCTGGTCATTAATTATTTTATCATGGCTTGTATTGTGCCGCCATAAATTAACATTTTTTATGTAAATATTCAATAACATCTTTCTTCTACTGCCTTCTTGTTAACTCCTGTGAGTTAAGAATTTAATAAAGCTGAAGGTTTATGTCACTTGAGACAATTTGGGAGTTTGCTACTAGTTTTTATAGTCAAGCTTGAGAACTGGTTGTATAGGCATACAGACCACAAGTCTTATTGTTACCAAAAAACATGATTCGGAGATTTGAGTATGAAATAGAGAAGGAATCAAAGCTTCCTGTTTTGCCTAAGTTAACTCTAATTTTTGCTATTTTGCTCTAGATCATCAACTTGATTAGGATAAATAATGAAAAAGCATACCTCTACTTTACTTAATGCAAAAACTAATGCAATTATGAATATTTGAATATCTCATATTATCATGCATATACATGAAGAGATTCAGATGAGCTAATAGCATCTGGTGGTTATCGATCATAAAAATGATGTAATCATCTCAATTAGTATGTATAAGCATAATAGTTGATGTAAGCATTCAAACATGAGTTTCCATTTGTGTAAAATTTTTCATGATAGAGTCCAAGTAGAAGCAAGATTCTCTATGATGTGCATGATGATATAAAAACTTTTGGGTTTACATGTTAAATCATCATATGAGTGCAAAGGATCATGTATTGCATGGTACTTGCAGACAAGCTCTATGTGTTTAGAGTCCTAGTTAAATTGAAACTTTCAAAAGAGATGAAATTATAAATTTTTTTTAAAAAAGTTAAAATTGTAAAATTTTAAAACAAAACAATAACAAAATTATAAATTTTTAAAAATTTGGAGGCCCTACTTGCCCCTCTCCCTACGCCTCTACTTGTCGTAGTGATGCTAAGTACAATTCTTCTTGTCCTTCTGGATGCCCTCATTAGGCTTCTATGTCTTGCCGATTGAGTCCCTTGCATTCTTTCCATTATTCTTCATCATCGACTTCTTACCATTAGAAGATGAAACAAGAATGTATTTCAAAAAAAAAAAAACATGAAACAAGAAGTAATGCATTCATTTATTTTTTGATGGACTTCTTATTTGTATCCAAGATTTTCAATGATTCGGGCAAGGTAACTTCCAATCACTTAATGCCGAAATTCATCACAAATTGTGAATCGCTGTCTTGTAGAAACTATAAACCTAAGCTAATATTGAGTTCATGATCTCCACAAAGTCCAATTGCCTAAGCTTCTCTATGCAACTAATCATAATTCAATCATGTGTTTTGACAAAAAATACTTTCTATCATCTTAAATCGAAATAATCTCTGTGATGTCTCATACCTTTTTGTACGATTTTGCTTATCGAACAATTTTTTGAGGTGCAAAACCATACTTTGAGCATTAATATTTCTTATAACATCACATAAATGGCCAAATCATCATCATTTTTATGAGTTTGATAGGATTCTTGTGCCTCATCACCATCATCCTTAGTAGGAACTGGTCGTAGTTCCGAGGGCATGTAATTTATTTTCTTACTTTAGAACAATTCTCAAGTTTTCATAACAGTTCAAGAAGTTTGGACCAATAAGCTTATTACCATTAAGTATTCTCCAAGATGATATATTGTTACTCATTTTTACCTAGCAAACTTAAATATTAAAAATTAAAAATTAATTGCGTGTAAGTTATTTAAGCATTTGAACTAATACAAGACAAAATCTTTTAAAATTATTTTTTGAAAGAAGGTGCATTTTATTAACACCAAATCATTGAAATAATACGTCCAATCCACAGATAACATTTTTAGGCACACTAATTAATACAGAACTAACTCATTTACCAAGACAGGATATTACAATGAGTCTTGATCCTGACTCACAACATGGCCTATACAAGAAGGCAATTGCATGCTTTCTTTCCATAGCAGTATACCATCCTGTGTATACTTTGCATGTTGTGCTATCGTGTAAGCCACTCTATTTTCTTCTAACATGATGCAGTCTTCCACTATGTGTTCCAATCTACCATTGCTACACTTGTTTTTCAACCATTTGACCAGCTGCAGATAATCTATCTCCACCTCATCAATTCGTAACTGCTGTTGATCACAAATAGAATGCATACAATCTCCTCTACATTTGATTGTTCCACATAAGAGTCATTCTGCAACAGATGAACACTGACTTTTAAAATTATTGATTACACTTGCTATTTTATTAAAAATAATTACCTTCTATTGTTAAATCAAAAAATTCCTAATTTTCAATGAGTTAGGATCGTATTCAAAGTACCACAATTTTAAATAACTCAATAAATCATAATTTATTAGATTAAGTTGATAATTGTGATTTTTTTCAAAAAAATAATTTTATTAAATCTCAATATCGAAATGCCAAGTCAAGTTTCTCACTTGATTGACCAAAAACTCCCGTGACATTAACGTCCGATCTGGGAAAAAAACTGTACAATTACATCATAGCTGCCACACAAGGAGAAGGAGGTGGCTGCTTGAAGAAAACACAAGGAACCAAAAAGAGTAAGGCACCACGTGCCAAGTAGCCAAAAACATGGGCACACAAACGGGCCTGAAAACAAAAACCAAAGGCCGAACCATCAGCTCCAAGTCCTAAACGTGAACAAAGAGAAGAGATTCCCAAAACAAACTCAATCCAAGAGCCTCCGGACTACGGCACCATGATGAAAGCTTGGGACCGCCGCCTCAGACATCGGGAACAGCTCAAGGCAAAGCATTCCATTGCAATAAATAACAAGGAACTGGCACCACATCCTAGAATCCCCGCATCATGAGAACACCGACACGGCACACACATCATGATGATGAGATAACTATGATTATTAATTACATCAGTCTTATTTTAGCTACGATAATAGAAGTGATATTTCTCGTGTTCTTTGATTTTTTATATTTAAAATTTTTAATATTATTAAAAAAGTTTTTCAGGGAAATTTATTAATAAAATACTAATATTTTCATTTTATAAAATATAATTAAAAATTTAATTTCAACTCGATTTGGTTCATTATGAATATTTCTACAATATAGTTGAAAAAATTGAAGCAATTATTTTTCATCCTTATTTACAAAAAAAAAAGAAAAGAAATTAGAGTACAATTTTACATACTTAAAAATTTATCACTTTTTTAAATTACATTTTTGTAAAGAATAATAAAATAAAATAATTTTATTTTCTTTTCATTTTTTGACTCAATCAATTTTCCATCTACCCTATCAAAGTATTTACAAAAAAATATTACTTTTTCTCTCTTTTTCTATTTTCTCCTCTAATTTTTATCTTTTCCCATTTTACTCCACAGTGCAAAGTCTCACTGATTTGTAGATTTTACCACTCCCGACCGCCTTCTTCCGTATTCAGTTGCAATTCAACCACAAGGAACAACCATCGACGGCATGCTTTCACTTGTGAAGCACACCGCCAGAGCTCTAACGACAGCCCTCCGCAGCCGTAAAACCCCTGTTGGGGTGACGCCATCATGGTCGATTTCGCGCCAAAAATGGGACGGAACGGAGTTCGATCACATTAGGGCTGACGTTAACTGCCCCCGGTGCTCAAACCAAATGCCCGTGCTTTTCTCTAACCGCCCACTCTCCATCACGGCGCGGGAGCCAGGCCTCTACCAGGCTCTCAATCTCTGCCCTACCTGTAAAACGGCCTTCTATTTCCGGCCGTTTAAGCTGGTTCCTTTGCAGGGGAGCTTCGTGGAACTGGGGAGGATCATGGGGGACACCGAGGGGATTTCGGGAAAAGAACCCGGCCAGATTGCAAAACTCAGTGATGACCATGATGATGCTGATGAAGACAAAGGTGACCTGGCGAGGAGGTTGGAGAGGGAATTGCCCACCCCGAAGGCGATTTGTGGGAGGCTGGATGAGTTTGTCATCGGCCAACAACAGGCAAAGAAGGTAAGCCTTCCTTACTTTTACTTTTGATGACATTTTTGCTTAGGGAATCAATTAATGTTAATAGCAATCGAATTAGAATTTGATTTCTCTGTATGTTTCTAAAGCTGACTGTTAAGAAATGAAATTGAATGACTATACTGGTTAAGTTTTTTTGAATTTTCAACAAATAAAACTCAACTTGGCTTCAACTCAAGGAACATTACCCAAAAATGTTGCTTGTTAGGTATGCATGCGGGTAAGGAAGCTGATCATCTCTAAAGGTTTTTGAAGTTTCTTTCATTTTGGTTTGAAACAATGCCAACATCTGCACTGTATTTGGTAGGAAGTAAGGAAAATGGAGGGAAGGGACTAGGGAAAGTAATTGTTGTTATTTGAAGGAGAAGAAGGGTACCAATCCGACACCTTTTCTTCCACGATTTCCTTTACCTTTCTGCTATCTCCTAAACTTTTTCCCACATTGAAATCCTAGCTCCACCCATTAATCAAATGGATTTTTTCTTGTTAATCCATTTAAGAATAAAAATGGCTAGACTTTCCTTTGTAACTTTTTGGTGGCCTGTAATAATTGTTAGAAATTTTTTGTAAAAGCTAGCATTATGAAATTTACAAATCCAGTTATCATCCATATTTTCATTGTTTGATTGAAGGTCTACTCGTATCACAGGTGCTATCTGTAGCAGTTTACAACCACTACAAAAGGATATATCATGCCTCCCAGCAGAACGAGTTAGTGCTTTCTGGTCTTCCTGTTTAACCAGTTTAGTGCCCTTGGAATCCTCAATTAGTGGTTTCTATCAGTTCTTTCAGTTTTGCTCACAACTAGTTTAATTAGTGAACGCTATATAACAAATTACATATCTATTGGATGTTACCTTTTTAGACTGAATATTTGCATCTTAATACTAGGGCTTGTATATTGGGTGATGATGAAAATGATGCCAATGATTTTGTTGAATTGGATAAAAGCAATGTACTGTTGATAGGTCCTACTGGTTCAGGTATAGTCATGTTCCCTTATGTGCCAAATAACTTCATGCTGCTTGTAATGATTATTTTCTTGATTTTCTCTTTTAAAACCTTGAATATGGGGACAGGGAAAACATTACTTGCAAAGACACTAGCACGCATTGTGAATGTGCCATTTGTCATTGCCGATGCAACAGCTTTAACACAGGCAAGTGAACCCTTAGATCTGACTACAATATTCTTGATCATATGCAGTCACTTGTCTATTTTGAAGCATTCTATGATTATGTACTTGATTTTTTTCTTTTTCCTAATTTCCCTTCAAAAGGGAAATAATAATTTCATTTTCCTTTGACTGGTTTTTCCCCTCTTTTATGAGTATCACCAAGTAAATGACAATGAGTACTAACCTTTTCCTGCTCCATCTCTCTCCCTCATTGACCCTAAACCCGGACTGTGACAATCTGAATGATTTTGTGAAATTCATCAATATATGTTCTTTCTTGGGTAGAAACATATTCATAGACCTGGAATTTGGTGATTTCTTTCTAGAGCTTCAACTTTCATGCCCTATGAAGGCTATCAACCTTGCTTCTATCTGATGGCAAGCTTGTGCTAGCATCTATGATTTTTCTTTGCGGTTTCTGTTAACTCTTATCACATCTGCATCATTCTTCTTTCTCTTGCTTTATAGCTTTCAATTGGCATGTCTAACTACACCAGTTCTTGAATTTACAAGTTAACATAACCCAACTAATTGTCGATAATGTCTCTTTTTCTTAGAGAAAAACTAAATCATGGAGATGCAAATAATTCAAATTGATGCATGCCTAACTCAGTCGAAACTTATTTGGAAATCATATTCAGAGGTCATTTTACTAGCATTTGATAAAACGTACTAAGAAAGAGATATGTAACTTATTTAGCCAAATTTTCTTCAAATATATTGCCAATGACTGGAAACTTATCCAAGAAACAGTTAGTTCTAGGGGACTTTCTTTAAGTTCAGCTAACAGCATGATCGTAGATCTTTTACCACTGCTTATGCTTATGCTGTGAAGTGCAATGAAATGCTGATAATTTTACCTTCTATTTTCCAGGCAGGTTATGTTGGAGAAGACGTGGAATCAATTTTGTACAAGCTACTTGTGGTATGGTTCACCATTTGTGTTCATAACAATAAATCTTTCCTAATCCTAGAATCATGTATGTTTAAAAGTAGTGGTGTGTGCCTAGTCTATATATACTTTTCTGTAGTTACATACATACACACACCCGCCCACACACACACATATATATATTTGCATATACTTACACACAAACACATGCATACGTACAAACTAGCAAACACCGCTATCTTCCTGCTCCCATTTCTTTTGCCTTTTTCTGTTATTTCTAATTATTCCATAATAAATATTCGAAGGTGATAAGCATAGAAAACAGAAGCCAAAATTGACATTCAGAAACTGCAATCTAATACTGAGGTGTATTATGGGCTTGTATTCTAATTGTAGCAGAAATGTTGTACTCTTGTTATGAAGCAATTGCTGTCAACTCCAAATTCAAAATTGGCATACAAAAACTACAAACTAACACTGAGGTGTATTATAAACTCATGTTCTAATTGGTGTACAGAAATGTTGTACTCTTGTTATGAAGAAATTGCTGTTATAACTCCAAATTTGCTTTTATGATGAATCAAAATTTATTTTTCCTTACTAATGTTTTTCTTCCCTTTTATTTTTATTTCCTCTGTTATGTAATCTTGAAATATTAAACTGTATTTTAGTTTTTATGCTTCCGAAATTTCTGCCTGATCTTTGCATATCTAGTCTCATCTTACATTAAGTGTTACAATTGCTTGATATTTTCTTGGTGTACAGGAAGCTGAGTTCAATGTCGAAGCAGCTCAGCATGGGATTGTATATATTGATGAAGTTGATAAGATAACTAAGAAGGTCTTTTGAGTTGTTGATATGTGAATTGAGCATACTGATACTCAATGCCCAAATTTGATAGCTTCGATTGATTTTTCTTCAGGCTGAGAGTTCAAATATTGGTAGAGATGTATCTGGAGAGGGTGTTCAACAAGCACTGCTGAAATTGCTGGAAGGAGCGGTGAGTAAATCATTTTTTAATTGTTATTGTCAGTAACCGTGGTTTCTTATTGCGTACCTTAATTGAAATCAGTTTTGTATTTCATTACTCTTGTCACTAATCTGCCTTACACATGGATTTTGATGAACATTGTGCTTCTGATTAGTGTCTCCCGACAGTAGTATAGACTAATGTTTTAGTGAAAATGCCCTTAAACATAGATTTATTGAACCTAGTTTTGTTGGTTAATAGTTATTTAAACTATTGGCAACTTAAGAAAGCGATATTAAGGCTGGGATTAATCTTCATGGGGTATATGTTTGAGCTATTTATATATGTTTCCTCAGAGCAGTTAATGGATGCTATATGTCAGTTGGTGATGTTTTTGTTTTTCTTTTTTGTTTTCCTTTTGGAAACTACAAAAAAAGTGTGTTTGGTAATAATATTTTTATTTGCAAAAATTCAAAATAAAAAAAAAAGATCAAAATTGTTTGGCAGTATAAGTTTGGTGCTTTACATTAAGTGTTTTTGGCACTATCCATTGGTGAAATGCATGAATACAAACACACACACAGACACACATTTTTATATCCTTAAATGTCGGACAGGTTAGGAAACTTTGCAATTGAAGACACTAGAACCACAGACCTCCTTGAACAATTAGTAAGGGTTCATGCTTCAACCACCTTTCCTTGTCTGTTGTTAAAAATCTTATATCAAATTTCTAATAACCAAACATGTAGTGAGTTTTAAAAAATTGAAAACTAAACAAAGTTTAAATACAAAAACTGACAACAATACCAAATGGCACCTAACTATTTGGTCAAATTCCATGTTGATGTTTTATTTTAATGCATTTGGATTCATAAGGTTGGTACTCCAGTCTCCATTGGAGAATGTTGTTGTTTGAATCTGGCATCTTTAGTCATGTTCCTTTGAGCAGATCTGAATTTTTTATGGGGTCAATAGAATCGTTCGAATATGATAAGCTTGAGTTCCAGTCCCTTGCTAAACAGCCTTATCATTATTTTGGCACAATTATGTCTAAAAGGGGAGGGGATTTGAACCTTGAACCTTGACTTGACTCTCTAAGGAGGCAAAAAACCACTTGGCTTAGTTTAGGCTGTTTAAATATCCCCACTACTTACAATGAGATCTTGATAAAACAAATTACACACTGAGTTGAAGTTTTTCAGTCATTAATGTGTTTAAGTCTTTTTTGTGTTTATTTATGTCTTTCGCATATCTTTACAAACGTGTAAAACTCAACAGAATGAATTGTAGCCTTATCTACCCATAAAGTTCAAACTAGCATTTGAATTTTACAATTTCATATGTAGATATCATAATACTTAATAGACCTGGCAAAGCAACCTGGATACAAAAGACCCACCGAACCCAAGCCTAGCCCAAATTGGCTCTAAATTGAAATAATACAAACCTGACCCAACCGAAATACAAACTGGAACAAAGACGACCTTAACTCAATCAGAAACGACCCAAAACTTAACCTAAGAAACATTTATTTTCTTGATTTAAATTTCGATGGAATTAAAACTGATAAATATAATATAAATTATGATTTGTTGTCAAACTGACCTAAATTCTACTCAATTAATTAATTTAAAAAAGTCAATAACATTTTTTGGAAAGGAAAAAGGTCAATAACTTGAAATCCGACTGATTTGAAGCTTGAAATACTTGAACCCTAAATGACTCACACCTGAAGTGAGCTAAATCTGAAACGACCTAACACCCAATATGATCCAAACCCAAAGTGAATTAGAGCTGAAATGATGTAACTCAACTTGCCCAATTGCCCCCTCTACTAATATACTGTGCACAGATCTGCCTGTGGTGGTAAAGGGAAGGGAAATTAGAGCTCTGCTTTTCTATAATTAAGAATTCCCTAGAACTAAGATTATGTATATTTTGTTCTCAGATAGTGAATGTTCCCCTTCCTGATAAAGGAGCTCGGAGGTATCCTCGTGGTGACAGCTTTCAGGTATTCTCTCTCTCTCTCTCTGCATTCAATTTATTGATTTCATCTGTTAAAATGGCCTATCATATGATTTACTATGAGTAAAATTTAACCATCTTGGCAGGATTGTCTTCAATTAATTATTAGCTATGAGGATCTTATCAGTAAATAATATATGAATAAGAATCTGAGCTATTAATATTTTAGTCACCTTCAGATAATTGGGCACTTTCCACTGATGTTACCTTCTGTGTGTGTGTCTGTGTGTTTGGTGGTGGTGAGGGGTGGTGGGTGTTGTGTTTGGTAACCTTGTAATAATGCTGCAGATCGATACAAAGGATATACTTTTCATATGTGGTGGGGCATTTATTGATTTGGAGAAAACCATTTCAGAAAGGTAATTTCATCATTTAATGTCTTATACTCATGGTGATTGTTTGTTAAAATTGTGCTTTTGCTATGGTTTAATTGTCTCAGACGGCAAGATTCGTCTATCGGCTTTGGAGCACCTGTCCGTGCAAATATGAGGAGCGGTGGTTTGACTACTGCTGCAGTTACATCGTCATTGTTGGAATCTGTGAGAATCAAAACTCAAGATGGCTAAGGGAACTGTATATTTTTCCATTGCCATTATATATTTGTTTGGAGGGAAATTCTGGCTTCATTGTATATTTCTCTTTAAAAAGTATTTTCTTCACTAAATCAGAATTGTAACCTCATGCTTGATTATGAACCTGCAGGTTGAAAGTGATGATCTTATTGCATATGGATTAATTCCTGAATTTATCGGGCGCTTTCCCATTTTAGTTAGCTTATCAGGTTTAAATGAGGACCAACTTGTTGAGGTGTGTTTTCTTTTCTTCTCTTTTTCTTATTGTCATGTGTATTCTGTGGTAGGGCCTTGGAGTAGTTTATTGTTCTGAAAAGGGTCTTTACCTTTGATGTTATATTATGTAGTTGTTGAGTGACGTTTAAAAGTTCAAAATAACTGCACACTTTGAGACACTTCTACATTTGTTTAAAGAATATAGACAAAATATGACAGTTAATTATCAATAGGTCCTCATGAAGCCAAAAAACGCTCTTGGTAAGCAGTACAAGAAAATGTTCAGCATGAATGGGGTAAGCCTTCTATCCTATTCTATTGTTGGTCATGAAACTTTGTACCTTTTTCTGTCTGACTTGTTCCCCCTTTTTTGTTGTTTTTTGAGGTCTTCCAGAAAAAGACATGAGCATTTGAATTGTTGATTTCCCTTGTGATAACTTGTTTCAGTTTAGCTTTTCAGGTCAAATTACATTTTACTGAAAATGCATTGAGATTGATTTCAAAGAAGGCAATGGCTAAAAACACTGGTGCTCGAGGCTTAAGAGCCATACTGGAAAACATTCTTACAGAAGCAATGTTTGAGGTACCCATATGGTTTCTTTTATCTTTTGGTGTCATAACGTGAGTGCTAGCTAATTTGTTTAGATGCTTTTTCTAAGATGCCTATTTTTTCTAAAGCACCATACAAGATGGGGAACTCTTTTCTTTTTCACCAGAAGTAATCTGCTCAAGGACATTTTACTCTTCAAATTGAAATGTAGTTTTAGTTGCAATGAGTTGGGATTTACCTTTTCAATTAGACAGGGAATTTTCAAAAGAAAAAAAAGAGGTTAATTATTTTGTGCCCATATACTCATGCATTTGAACAGATTCCAGACAGCAAGATGGAATCTCATGGTGTAAATGCAGTTTTGGTTGATGAAGAAGCTGTTGGGTCAGTGGATGAAACAGGATGTGGAGCTAAAATTCTTTATGGTGATGGTGAACTGGACAGGTTTCTTGCAAAAAGAACATTGAAGGATTTTGTGGTATGTTCTCCTGATGCACCCTCTTTGTAAATTGTTGTCTAACTTTGAGCGTCTTTTTGTTATTGTTTGTCCTGTCTTTATTAATTTTTAAATTAAACATTTGAATTTCATTAAGTAGAACCTGTCAGGATTTGGGGTGGTTAATTTTTAACAGAATTTGGAGAGAAACATGATTTCAAAGGGTGTTCTAACTTGTAAGAGGACAATAATTCAGATGGAGTTATACAGTTTTGAATATCATAGGTCCTCAGTGTTAGGATTCAATATCATCTGGCGCATGGAATTCAATGCGTAATACATATTAATGGGATGTCACTGAAGCTTGTTACATTGTGTTGGTTTTATGTATATGCTGTTTGAAGTCCATCTATTACACTAAAAAGTTTTGAAACTGTTCTGCTTTCCAAAGATGGAGAGAAAGAGAAGATTAAAGAAAGGTTGAAGTTTGAATTTGGTTCTTCTATCTAAATTCCATCGTTTTAGTCCTTTATCTCAGTTCTAATGAATTTAGTCTATGAATTATTTATCTAAATTCCATAGTTTATGCATTAACTTAAAAGACGTGGTATTTTGGTGATGGTCTAACATAGTGAGGTTGATTAGTTTTTTGGTTACGTGACACATATCTGTCTAAAAAATATCACAATTAATTTTGATTAAATAATGATTAATATTTTTAAAAAATTTTAAAGAATAACATTTAGTATTTGTATTAAAATTTAAAGGTTTTTTTTTTGTACTAATGTGTGTCGTGGTTGAAAATTTTCAATTAATATGCCATATCATCAACAAAACAGTAATGACAAAAGTTTAACACCTTTATCAATTTTTCTTTAATCAACTTTTAGTGAGATTAAATTCATTAAAATAGAGACTGAGGGATCAAAATCACAAAATTGAAATAGTATAAAGATCAAATTCAGACTTCAACCTGTAATCAAGTTGTGGTTGCATTGTAATTTTATTCAATTTCTCACCGAAAACTTAAAATGAAAAAAAGAAAAAAGAAAATTATGTAAGCTTCAAGAATGATTTCTTGTGTGAAACATTTACTTAATTTTGCTTTTTTCTTTTCTAAATGATATGACAGAGTGCTTGAAGATGTTTGTGAATAAGGTTGGTTGGCGACCTTATGGGAGAAAGGGTACTAGCAGAGGTTCAAGTTGTGTGGGGGGGAGTTGGTGGGATCTTGTGAATACTATTCTAGTTATTTAGTGTAAATATAGTTGGCTATTTAGGCTTATTAGATCAAGTGGTAAAGCTGGGGTGATTCCTACAGAAATTTTAAGTTTGAGCCAGTGCTCTCACTTGTACCAAAAATGAAAATTAAATGTGTAAATAGTTCTTCTTCTTGTGTTTATCATTGTTAATCAATGAGCAGAATTTTTGCTGGAAGATTAATCTGAATTTTTTGAAATATTGTAGTACTTTTTCAAATAATCAATGATTTTTTTATTGATTAATGTCTCTGATTTTTCACTTTTATTTAATTGATTATTATTAGTGATTTGCCATGAACAATGTTACAATGTAAACCATGTATAATATTTACTAAAGTAACATAATATGTTCGAAAGTAGGTGTCCAATTAGTTTTATTGTTAATTATTATTTTAGTTTATGAATATTTTATTTTTAAAGTTGTTATTTATTTATTTGGTAAGAATAAAGAATAAGGAGTAAATGGAAATGAAATAGTTTATATATAATTGTAAAAATTAAATATAATAGAAAGAATTTACTTTTTCCGTTTCATAAATACTGTTTTGATTGCCTAGCTTTGAATCTATAAAGATTATTTGCTACATGATGTAATTATTTGTTTTAAAGACAATTACCCTTGCATGATCTATGAATGCAAGTTGATTAAATTTGTCCTTAAATAAGTTAATAGAAGGTATAAAAATTGATCAAATTTAACTCATTTGAATTTAAATGACCTGCTTGAATTTAACTTGATTTGATTTTAAAAATCAACAAATGATTCAAACACTACCAAACAATTCATCCAAGATCTAAATTCGTAATAATTTAAATTCAAATTATCTAAATTATCATTATTTAAAATTGATAAAATTTAAATTTCATAATAATCCAAACCCAAAATAATCTAAACTTTTATTATTTGAAATGATCCAACACAAAATGACTCAAGCCACTCGATTTCCATCTTATAAAACTAATAATAGTAACAAAATCAATGAATGCAAATAGTTGATAAAATTTGTAAACCACATTACACGTGAGAGGAAAATCATTAGCCTCTTTTCCGTTCTTAATAAGGAAGTTAGATGGGCTTATGTATCCTTTTCATTTCACTTAATAATGGATTTAAAAGGGGTGAGAGAATAAAGGTCAAATCTATGGAGGAAGATTAAGATAATGCCCTTGAATTTATACATGAATGAAACCAATATACAATAAATATCTTTTTTTGTATTGAGTTTTTCTTCATTCAAAATTTAAAAATTTTCAATCCCTTTCATTTTACCACTTGCAATTTTAGCCCATATTACCATTTGAGCTCGTCTATTCTTGTAGTCTTGTAGCTATCACAACAACAATAATTCCCCTCTTCAAATATGATAATAAAAATAAAATATTAGAGGTATATTTGTTACAAATTGATGAATATATAACTTTGAATAGTTTAATTATAATTGATAAAAATGACTAAATACTCAAATAAGCCTCTGAACTATATCAAGAAACTAAATTTAACTCTTAACACTTTTATTGCGTTCAAATAAATTTTTGAACTTTTATTTTTGGTCAAATAAACTCCTTTCACTAACTGTTAATTAACTTTTTTTAATCAATGGTATAATTGGTAACTTTTGATGCTACATCATCTACCACGTGGCATATTAATGACAAGATGACTCGTCAACAGGCCACATGGCAGATGACACGGTATAAAAAATTATTGACTCGGAATTGGGTCTTTTCCTTTTCAAATATCCAAAAATTATTGTGTAGGGATTTGAAATAAAAAATTAAAAAAAACTAATTATTTCAAACTGAGTACCCTCATTTCTTAACTGATTACCATTTTCTTAATTAAAGCCATCATTCCTAACAAAAAAAAACTTAATCTAATTTTTCCAATTCGATTAAAACCATAGATGCTCGATTGAAAGTTGGTGTAGTGAAATCCAATAATACCATAAACTATTTTGAAAAGAGGAAGAGTAAAGTAGAACACATAACGTGTATAATACTTAAATTAGCAAAGACACATAATATTATTTTACGATAAACGAAAGTCAAATCTGTTTCTTCTCTTCTTTAGAATTTGTAAAAAAAAGTCAAATCTTTCACTTCTCTTCCCTAGAATCCATAAGGGAAATATGATGTTCTTCTTTTCTTTAAAATCTGTAAAGAAAATTTAATGGTGTTAAATTTTATTTACTAACAATAATAGATTCTATTTGCATATCTTTCAGAGTTTTTGAAAATTTAAGACTACCTAAAAAGTAATTTTTAAAAGAGGAATAGGAATTGTAGATAAGGAGAAGACATTCTGACTATAAAATATGTTGGGTTTAAAAAATGTTGAATAAAGTGAAGATTTTTTTTTGTTAGGAATGATAATTTCAATTAAGAAAATGAAAATCAGTTAAGAAATGATAATAATTAGTTTAAAGTAATTGGGTTTTTTTTAAAATTTTTTTTTTCAAATCTCTAACTAATAATTTTTGGATATTTGGATGGATAAAAAAACAACTCAATTTTTAGTTAACAATTTTTTACGTCACGTCATCTACTACATGACATTGTTGTCATCAAGAAAATATATCAACTTGTCACGTCAATAACATAGCATAAAAAGTTATTGATTGTACCATTGACTAATGGAAGTTAGTCCATGGTTAATTTGAGGAACTTATTTGATTTGAAATAAAAACTTAATGATTTATTTGAATGCAAGAAAAAGATAAGATCTAAATTGACTTTTTTGATATGAGTTGGGAGCTAATTTATGTATTTATCAAATTTCACTCAATTTAAACGATCCATCCATTTCCAATTTGACTTGACTTTAAAAATCAATAACTTAAATCCAAGATGACGAGAACCTGAATAATCTTAATGTCAAATCGAAATGACTCAAACCTGAAAATGATTTCAATTTTCTTCTATCCAAAATGATTGTCCATCTAATTGTCACCCCTACCTATTATGACATTATGAAATATATATATATATATATATATATATGTATATATGGATTTTCTTATCCTATGGAGTTTTGTTTTAAGTCTGTAAATTTTCTATTTAAAGCTTATAAGTATTTCTTAAAGATTCCATAAACTATCTTAGCTCTAATACTCAAAATATTTTTGTTCTGCTCGATTAAATTATATATTCGATTAGATTAGATACTATCGTGATCTATTTCAAATAGATTGTATTAAAGCGCACGGGCGTGCACGTACATACACACACACACACACACATATATATATATATATATATATATATGAGTCACTCTAATACCACCACATTCGATCGTCACATATAAAACATTTCAATTCAAAACATTAGAAGTGTAGTTAAAAAAAATTACAAAAGCAATAACTTCATAAAATGTGTACAGAAAAACAATGTCTCCAATAAATTTCCTCAGGCTATCAATTCCAATTAAAATGTGCCACTTATCTTAAATATAAGGAACAAAACTAAAAATGGCAAGAATTAGATATTGTAGAGTAGCAGCACAATTGAAGTGCTATTTTATTCACTTGGCATACACAATTTTAAACTTTGTAAACCACAAGAGGACACCGTAGGATTTGAATCCAACTTTTCAAATAAAGAGTACAAACACTTATTAAAAAAATGAAATATTCAAATGCTTGTTAAAACACAACTTAGGCTTCATTAATACTACATTCGCGCAAAGCTATCAAAGCGTGCACAACTAGCTAGACTGAAATGCTAATGGCAAAGATGAGAGGACCAAAATGATATCTGCAAAGGATTTCACTCCTATCCTATCCTGCTTTTATGACCTTTTCAACCTGGACATAAAGAACAAAGGTTATAAATGCAAATTAAATTTATAAGAGATAATCCCGGATCTTACTTTGCCAGAAAAAATAGAAATAATTAAAGTCCAATTTTAGTCATGTATAGAAGTTGTGAGGACAAGGAATTATAAAGACTAGAGATTACCTGTTGATCCATCAAGAGTATCTTTTTCTTTTTTTGCTCAACCCGTGATGAGAATTTAGTGAAGTTGGAGTGCTAGGCTGCTCCATCGTTGGGTCCAAGTCCTCCAAATCACTTGGATACACTAATCGAGCCCCACACTTGTTCACCTTAGTACCAATGTTGCGTGTGTTGAATAACATCTTGATTCCAGTACAACTATGTATCCAATCTCCTCTCCGTAAAATCTCATAATCGTCACTTTGGTACTTCAAAAAATTGTCTAAAATATCACGAGGCAAATAGCTTAGCCAAAGGTGGTCCTTGGAGATTCGGCCTGATTTGCTATTAAAAGGAAACCCATCAGTAGGTTTCCAAAAAGCAAAATCTCCAAAATGGATTTTAATGGTACAGTTAATTTCCTCCCCCCTCCAAGCAGCATTATTAGAGGCAGGCACAAGAGCACAGCACAAGGCAAATCCCATCCACTGAATATCATTCTGCAAATTGGGTATCATTACTGAACATTCCTCACTCTGGTGACTAAACCATTCAAAGATTTCACTGCCAGGTATAAGAATGTCAAATCGTTGTCTTACATTCGCAGCTGCCTGCAAAACAAAACCCCGTGATTGGGTAATGAATTAGTTGAGGATTAAATACACATTTTGCAATAGAATTATATTGAAGCTTTCAATGCCTGGAGTTTGAAGTTCTTAATTAGATGCTTAGACTTTAGTTCAATTAGTCGGTTTGAACAGTTTAATTGATATTGTTAGGCAAACGGATGACGTGATCAAAAAATAAAAATAAAAAAAACAAAAACAAAAACAAAAAATGATGTGTCACATATATACACTTTTTTCTTAATTATTTTTTTGTCACATTACCGATTTAAGCAACATTATTAATCAAAGATTCAAATCATTCATATTCAATGAAATTAAATTATCTAATTGTTACTTTTAAAATTTTAAGTATGAAATCGATAATTTTACTGTTATTGAGATAACAAATATGTAATTAATCCATTAATTTACTATCATAAATTCTTGAAGGTAAGAGTAAGAGAGCTTGAGAAATGTACCTTAAGATGTCCTTTTAGAATTCTTAATGCATTATCATTCGCAGCCAATTTAAAGCAGTTAACACCATAATAATGCATCCCATACGATCTAGTATACGCTTTTGTTGGATTTGGAACTATTTCCAATGAATCGCAACCATCCAACCCTACTGCGGCTATGCTTGATGGAAGCTGAGGCAATGTTTCAAGCAATTTACAATCCGCCAATTCGAGAAGATTGAGCTTGGAAAGTTGGCAAAGATTTGTAGGTAGGCTGACGAAATTGTTATCCTTAAGAATCAGTGTTTCCAATGAGAATAAGCAACGTATATCACTAGGAAGAGCCCCTTCACAAAGATTCCTACCGCTTATATTCAGCTCTTTTAAAGAACTCAAACCTGATAAACGAGGTAACCTCAGAGCCATGGAATTCGGGCTTTTTTGGGAAAGCATGTGATTCAGACTTGATAGTAGTACTCTGCAGCCCTTCCTATATATCCACTGTAGGAAAGTTGGTGGTGAAATTTCAAGTTGAGAGCAACCCGAGAGATCAAGAACTTGTAGACTGCTGAGATGTCCAATAGAAGAGGGAAGTTCTTCAATACTTGTGCCATCTAAATGGAGCTCCAGCAAACGTTCCATTTTTCCGGTAATCTCTGGAAACCTTTGAAGATTCATGCAGCCTGAAAGAATCAACGTTTCAAGAGACTGCATTCCAATATTGGTTGAGAGACTCCTAAGACTTGTGCAGTTTCTTAAATTCAAAAGTTTGAGCTTGGGTAAAAATAATATGGATGGATGGACATCTAATAAGCTGGTACAACCTTCCAAATTCAAACTTTCGAGATTGCTGAGATGTCTAAATGAAGAGGGAAGTTCTTTAACACTTGTCCCGTCCAAATAGAGCTCCACCAAACATTCCATTTCCCCGGTGATCTCTGGCAACCTTCGGAGATTTGAGCAGCCTGAAAGAATAAATGTTTTAAGAGATTCCATTCTAATTTTGGTTGGGAAACTCCTAAGGCTTTTGCAGTTTCTTAAATTCAAAAGCTTAAGGTTTGGTAAAAATGCAATGGATGGATGGACATGTGCTAAACTGGTGCAGTCTTCCAAATTCAAACTTTCCAAATTTTCGGCCTTCGCGAAGTCTGGCGTCTTGATCAACTTTGGAGAGTCTTGAAGGTCAATGAATTTCAATTTATTTAAAAGCTGTTGAAGAAACAATAAAAAGAAAGAAAAAAGTTATTTTGTAACGATATAAATCAAATTATTGGTAATTTATATGAAGACAAACTAAAAGGCCAACATAAAATAAAGTAATTCTTACTCTTTCTCCGTTCCATAGTTGTTTAATGCAGCTATTAGGTAGGAGAAGTGCAACAAGGTTGTTTGGTTGGAAGTCCCAAGGCAATGATTTTAAAGGACATCCAGCCCACTCAAAAAACCGTAACTCATTGGAAAGATATGTGAGATCACAAGCTTTTAGGAGACCATGAACCATGAGCAATCTTAGTTTTTTCATCTTCAAGAAGGCGTCAGCCCTCAAAGTGAAAGCCTTGTGCACCCTAATAAATGATAAGCAAAGGCAAAAAGACAAATGAGCATCACAACATATAGAGCAATCCAACAACCTACATAGCTGGAGTATATGCTCATGAACTTGAGTTTCATCCTCCACAAAAATTATTTAAGTCTTCAAATGTATTCATTTCTAATTTGTCTTTCACATTCTTATTTCTTGTCCAGATTCAATCAAAATTTAGATTCCTTTATCAAGCTGTCACAGTTTTTCCTTTTCGTATTTTGGTAGCATTAATTAATGTACTAATAATATATCATCAAAATCAATAACCAATAAGTTACTATACACTTTTAGGTAACGTCATTCCAAATTTGTATTTTAGAAATTGGTTTAATCGATACATGAATATTTCTTCAGTTACCTATTTTACAATCTCCATAAATATTGTAACTCAGTACTTTTGTATAAAATGAAAATCAGTACAATTTCTTTAAATATATAAAACATGTTTGGCATATCCATTCCATACTGTTTAAATTGGCTGCCATTTATGAAGCCCTCAGTAGGCTTAATAGGCTGCCATTTGACAGCTAAGGGTAATTCAAAGGAAAAAAAAATTTCTTATTAAATAAAAATAAATTAAAAATGTGGCATATACAATATATAAACTTAATTAAATAAAGTAAAATTATGATTAAAAATATATTTAAAAAATCTTAATTATTATATAGTTAATAAAATTATATATGGATATATAAACAAAAGGAATATCAATCAATTATTAATTTCATGAAACTAATCGATAAAATGTTTAATTAATATATATTAATAGTCATAATGTAAATGTTAGAATCGATTTCAAGTCTTTTATTCCCTTATAAAGAAAACTAATTATTTTATTTTTACATGGTAAAAATGTAATATGCTTATATGTTTATTTAAATAGTTAAAAAAACATTTTATTTCATACCATTACTTTTATATATAATTTCAGAAAGAAATAAATGGAAGTTGAAAATGTGTAACATAAAACTATTATACTTAATAAAATAAATTAAAATAGGATCAAATAATACATTTGAGATGTTTATTCATTTTATAGCAGCATACTGTATTTTATAAGAAGTAATATAATGCATGAGAATTATATTCATTAATCAAGAATAGCTCAATTTAATAAGAAAAATCAATAATTAAGAATAAAATAATTAATTTAATAATTTATAAAAAATAAATATGTCATCTACTATTTGTATTTTAGAAATTCAGGTTTTTGTAATTAATGAAGATAAAGATAAAAAGGAGATATATATTTGTACCCTATAGTGCTGTTGATGATCATGCCTTCAATCGCTTCTGTACCCTAAACATCAAGAGTATCATAAGGCTTTACACAAAGAAGATGGATAAATTGCCAAGATAAGTAGAGAGTAAACTAATTATACTCTTTATGAAACACTAACCGAGTTTTGTGTTAGCACTTGATATACATCTCTTTCCTCCGATAATCTACATCGTTTGCCAGGTTCATCGGGAGACTTCTGTCGAACAATATGTCTTCCCATCTCTTGTAGTAAATCATGCATCCAAATTTTGTTGTTTTCAACTGTTATGAGAGATCTCTCGATCAGAACATGTAGTCCAACACCTGGACTATACCCACAGCCGTCCAATATTTTTGTTACAAAATCTCTGTCCCATCCTTTAAAGAAATGCGCGATATCTAAAAATATTTTCTTCTGTGTTTCAGATAATCCATCAAAACTTATTTTAAGACAATTGTTAATTTCTTTGTCAGGCTCACTCTTCAGGCTTTCTATGGCATGTCTCCATTGATCTGCATCTCTACCACAAAGAAAAGAGCCCAAAACATCAAGAGCTAATGGAAGGCCACTAGCATATTTCACAACACTTTGGGAAAGTGACATGAAACCATCTTTTGGTGTGTCACTTTGGAAAGCTTTCAAACTTAAAAGCCGTAGGGCTTCAAAGTGATCCAATGTTGTAGGCTTACACACATCATCCACTCTGTAGTTTCGCAACAACAGATGCTCATCTCTAGATGTTATGATGATTCTACTCCCTAAACCAAACCAATCACGCTTTTGAACCAAGCATTTTAAGTGTTGCATGTTATCGACATCATCAACAACAACAAGAACCCTTTTGTGACTTAACCTACGTTTTATAATTTCAATTCCGTCTTCAACATTAAAAAATTGGAAATCTTGCCCAGGTAACAGCACAGAAAGAAGTTGTTTTTGTAAAGTAACAAGCCCGGATTTCATTGCAACTTCTCGAACATCAGCAAGAAAGCATTTACCTTCAAAATAACCAGACATATGGTTATACACAACTCTTGCAAGAGTTGTTTTACCTACACCACCCATTCCACAAATTCCTACAATGCGAACATCATCTTTCCGAAAGCATATTTTGTCACGCAACTCCACCAAACGTGAATTAATTCCAATCAATTCATTATAAACACTTGAATATGTTTGACATAACTTTTTCGATATCACTCTAATGACGTCTTGCATGAGTTCCGATTCGTACCTATAAACCCAAAAGGTCAAATAAACATCTTGAATGAGAAAATAAAAATTACTGTTTGATTTATATTATATTAGAATTTTATCAACAGACGTTGTTGTAGGGATAAATTTTTTTATTAATACATGCACTAAAACCACTATATTAAAAAATTATTCACAACATTATTTAGTTTATTTTTAATTAACATTAATTAAATTTTTTTTATTTTTTGTTCGTATTAATCTTAATATTGTTGATATAGGCAATTAAACTTTCTAAGAATTTATTTTTAGATATAACTAATAGAATAAAATGTAATGTAAAAAATAAAATTAGTACTTAACTATTGTTGATATTAATATATGTATCATAGATATAGATGAGATAAGTTTGAAAATTTTAAATAAAACTTTTCTCTAATTAATAAACACGTTGAGTTGAAAAAGTAAATTCGTGACAAATGATATTAAAATTTATTTAAATTTTCACTTACGTAAAGATATTTTAAAAAGTTAAACTATGCTCGTATCAAAATGGATCTCTCTCCTCTATGCTACTGTTCTTGTGTTAGACATTCTCCATTTTCATTTCTTTCTTTATTGACAATATAAAAATAATAATAAGAAATAAATGTAATTTTTTAATCTATTTAAATAAACGTATAATAAGCATATTAAGTTACCATATAATCATATTATATTTGATTTTCAAAGAAAAAATTATATTACCATAGAAGAAAAAAGGTCAAACAATGTTAATGGAAGAAGGAGGTACCTATCTTTTAACTCCCATCCAGTGATACAAGACGCTTCAAGTAAAGCATCTCGCCACCTTCTCGTCTTGTCTTGATTATATCTCTTTTCATGTTGAGCAAAGGCATCTTCAACGCTCCCTTTCTGTTTCCGTAGGTCACGTGGCTCAACATCATAAAAAACAGGGTAGATCTCATGTCCCCTCTCTTTCTGCTGTTTAAGAATCTCAACAAGTTCATCTAGACACCAACTTGAAGAAGCATACCTTTTGGAGAAAACGATGATTGAGCACCATGATTCTCCAATTGCTTTGAGGAGCTGTGGTCCGATGCTTTTTCCTTTCTCAAGCTTTGGGTCATCTCTGAAAGTGATGAATCCTTTCTCTCTTAAACAAGAATATAGATGGTCTGTGAAGCCCTTGCGGGTATCTTCACCACTAAAGCTCAAGAAAACATCATATTTCCACTGAAAAGAAGATGAAGATGATGATGGAGTGGAAGTGGAAGTGGAAGTGGAGACGGTACCATCATCTTCCATGAGGAGGAGCAAGACAAGAAAGGAATCAATTTGGAGAGTAAATAATGTTGCCGAATGGAATAAAATGGAAAGCAAATTGACTTGACTAATGAAAAGCGTTCACGTGATTTCCAAAATTTTGCTTCTTCGACTATTTCAACTCCAAACCATTGGCGTGGGACCTACTTTTACGCGTGGTTGCTTTTTCCACGCGGAAATCACTTACAAGTCAGGCCTCATCTTTTTCTACATCTTCCAGCTTCAAAAATTCAAAAATCTTGTTACAGTTTAGCTTTTAAGGTCAAATTACATTTTACTGAAAATGCATTGAGATTGATTTTAAAGAGGGCAATGACTAAAAACATAGTTATTAGTTGCAATTACTTTTAGTTGGGATTTATCTTTCCAATTAGACAAGAAATTTTCAAAAAAAAAAATGGTTACTTATTTTGTGCCCATAAACTCATGCATTTGAACAGATTCCAGACACCAAGATGGAATCTCATGGTGTAAATGCAGTTTTGGTTGATGAAGAAGCTATGGGTCAGTGGATGAAACAGGATGTGTAGCTAATATAACTTTTAGTATTTTTATTAATATTTAAAGTTTTTTTTTATACTAATGTGTGTCATGTAATTAAAAAAGTTCAATTAACATGCCGTATCATTAACAAAATAATAACTACAGAAGTTCAACACTTTTATTCCATTTTTCTTTAATCAACTTTTAATGAGATTAAATTTATTAAAATAGAGATAAGAGGGATTAAAATCACAAAATTCAAATAGTATGAAGATCGAATTCACACTTCAACCTAAAAGAAATCACAGTATAGGAATTCAAATAGTGTTCTCACTTGTACCATACACGAAATATTTAAAATAAAAAAAAATAAAATTTATATATAGTCGAATTGTCCACGTGTATGTGTGCATTTATCATTCCTATCAAAATCCATACTAATATAATCCAACACGAAATTACCTAAAACATCCTATTGTCATTTTATAAAACTAAGTATAGTAACAAAATCCATGTATGCATCTGTTTAATAATATTTGGGAAAATTTAAAATGGTGCATGTATCTCTTTCATTTCACTTAATAATAAATTTAAAAAGGCTGAGAGCATGAAAGTCAAATCCATGGAAGAAGATTAAGACAATGTACTTGGACCTATACATGAATGGAAACCCATATCCAATAAATACCTTCTTCAGTATTTGAGTGTTTTCTCCAATCAAAATTTAAAAATTTTCAACCCTTTCCATTTTCATACAACCACTAAGGGGACAATAAACCTTACTCCTTCCAATTTCAGCCCCATTACCATTTAAGCTCGTCAATTCCTGCAGGCCTGCCGCTATCATAACAACAATAATTCCCCTCTTAAGATAATCTAAACCTACTCTCACTCGTTCCTGATGGAGTAGTACTTGTCCCATAACGTAGGGGATTTTGAAATTTCACTCATCAGGTTCTTGAACTTCAAGCTACAATCTCCCCCACTGCAAAACAACAAATATCATTCAGCACATTAAAAACAAAAGGGTTGCATATAGCCATGAAATTAATATCTTCCAATAATCGTCATTCTGCCTGGTTATCATTGGGACATATTAAAAGGAAACTCTTCCCCTGCCAGTTACAGCCATTATAGATATGTATATGAACGTGAAAAGGGCTAGAGTTCAAAAATCAAAACTCAATTGTCTAATACAAGTCAAGAGTAGGAGGAAAAACAGCACTGCATTGAGGGGATTTGCGTATAAGTGTAGAAACACGAAACCTTATTCGATTCAAGGAAGCAATTGCACGCAGAGCACTGCGGATCATATCTTCGTTACGATCTACTTCCTGTTTGACAGCATCTTGCTTTGGCTTGAAATTAATCGTCTTTTGAAGAGGATCCACCAGTGAGTCCAACACTAAATATCAAATTCAGACAATAAACAATGTAAGTTAAACAATCATCTAAATCTCAGTAAAGCATATTCAATTTCATCACATACCTGCTAATACAGCAGATGGACATTTATCTGCGAGTTTCGAAAGGATAAGATGGCAAGGCATCTTAACGTCGTAATGATCTGGAAATGCAAAAATCCAAATCAGTTAAATCATGAGAAAATCAATGCCACACACAATTCATAAGCCTTAAAGATAAAATTTCTCAAATTGACCATAACTGATATCTCTCTAGAGACTACATGTCAAAATAAGAGTTCCTTGCTTTTAAATATACTCAATGTGCCCAATCATCCACCTCTTTCTAGGTTGTCCCAAATTATTTGTAACTTCCTAAAATTGACAAGTCTTTACTATTACATTCGATTAATACACACTTTATTTTGATCTACATGACCAATCAAAACAATTGCAATGCAATTATTAAAGCATACATGTATTATATGACCCCAAGTCAAATAACCTTGATAGTGTTGCCTGAAGCTTTGTGCATAATGACAAAGGACAAACAATTTTTAGCTAAGAGAATATTTTAAGATATATAATCATTTCATTTACTTTTAACAATATATTTTGGTTCCAGGCACAACCCACAATAACACAATATTCCCAAAATTTTTTTTAAGAAAAAACACTCTAATGGGTATAATAAATCAAGTCATCTAATTATTATACATAATTCAATATAATGACTGAATACAAGAATGTTTGTAACCACAATATAATGGGGGAGCATGCTCACCATCAAGTCCAGATTTGAGGTATGGAACAATGAAAGATGAGGGGTTCACTTGATCAAGGCAACTGTCCAGCAATGTGTCTACACATTCAAAAGCTGCTTTTCTCAGCTCAAGCCCATCATCCACAATGTGCTTGAAAGGACCAAGGTCAACAGTTCTTATCAATTCTTGCTGCACCAAGCCAGAAATTAAAATGAAATTAGAAAAATGCCACATACCTACTAGCGACAACAAAGAAACAGGGAGGACAAGTTAGGACAAGTATAAAAGAACAAACATCAAAACCAAATACAAACAAACAAAATTAACGAATGAAACCATATGTCACTATAAGCTACATCAGAACAGAAATATCATGGTAGAGAACTGGGGAAAACAGAAGCCTGATAGCTAACAAAATGAATGCAAAAAACAACTTTTGATAGGATTCACAAAAGCAAACCAAAAGATTCACAAGAAATTAGAAAGTTTCCATCACCAGACACCCCCTAAAGTAATAAAAAAAAAAAAAACTGCTAGTACATTTCGAAAATCATGGTTTGCATGCAAGCAGAACCATATATTTGTTTCAACTACAGTCCAACATAGGTAAGTCCTAAATGATATTCTTATAAAGTGTATAGGCAATTAAAGGTTAAAAAAAATATGTTAATAGCGTCAACAATAATAAGAATAATGACTGCTCAGAAAGCTCACCTGTAGTGCCAATATGTGGACAACCATGTTGACCACAAAGTGGACAATGCTAAATTACCATATAAGCAACCTAATTAACAGTGAATCATCACCGCACTCAGCATAAAGCAAATCTTTTAGTTACCTTAACAATTGTTTGATCGTAGAGAAGCGGCAATAATTCCGGAAGAAGTCCCTTGATTAAGTTAGGCTTATTGTGAGCAAAAGTACTTAAAGCCAACACAGCTGCACGCCTAACATGCTGCACCAATGATATCATGTAAACAAGAATAAGGCTTAGAAACCCATAGACAACAACATAACAGCATCCTTTTTTCTTTGGGTGTCATCAGCAGTGAAAGGCCACTTACTCGGTCCTGATCCTTGATAAGCATAAGGAATGAAGCAATCTCAGGGTATATAATCTCATCTATCTTCTCTGGCCGCTCCACAATAGAATATTTTACAGCAATGACAACTGTTGCCCTAGTAAATGCAGCTGCACTGGTTGTTCTTACCTGTAAGGAATTCGAAATGAAGACAACAAAGATGCCCTATTAAGTTCCATCCAAATGTCAAAAGCTCAGCAGAGGAACAAAGCACCATTGGATTTCTGCTGCGGAGATACCTTAAGTGCAGGAATGAGTTTTACTGGTTCGATAAGTGCAATTTTACCAAGGCACTCTGCCACTACGTTACGGACCCCCTCTTCCTCACTTTCACAGTGGTTAAAGAGTAGTTTGAGAATTTTCTCAACACTTGAATCCTGAAACTCAGCTTTATCTACAGATTGCCTTACGATAACCTACATGATGATATGAATTAAAAATAAATATGCTGCATCAGACAAAATGCCCAGTTAGGTTTGTGCAAGACTTCAAGGAAACATACCTCCTTGAGAGAATGAAGCAACAGATACTGTTTCTTCTGCTGATTATCAATCTGGTCCAAGATGAAAGGTAAATACTTGGACAGATTGCCAACAGCTATATTGCCAAGAGCATAAGAAGCAGCAGACTTTATCTCTTCAAAAGGAGATTGGAAGGACTCAATAATTATAGTCTCAATATGGGCATGTGAGCTCAGATCTTTCCTCCTCCCAATCTCCCCCAAACAGAGCAACGCAAGGTGCTGCTTAGCCTGTTATAATAGGCACAGAGAAAAAAGTATGTGAACACGTGTTGAGTAATCATGTACTTCCAGAAAGAGACAAGAAGCAAAAAAACTTCAAACAACTCATAAAAGTATGCATGAAAGTATAAACTATGCAAATTTGCATCACTAAGACTCATGTACATTAAAATATTTGAAACCAATTTAAACCTTCAGATGAAAGGCAATTCAAAATGGAGAGAACACACTTAATTCAACTGCTTCAAAGCCAAGAACATCATGCTAAAGAGATATTTCAAAATGTTGAGAAACAATACTGCTTGATTATGTTATAGATCCAACTAATCAAAGAAAATCATTAAATTACTATTAGGGCCTGTTTCAGCGGCCATTAAAGACACCGGATGCTAATTTCATTACTGTTAGGTGCATGCTTTGGCAAGGGGTTGGATTACGATTTAGAAGGGAAATGCAGCGACAACAGAATGATGCCATCCAGAGGCAAGAAGCTGGATTAAGCTAATTAGATCCATATTGAAAGAAGCTTATAATTCTAACCTTGCCAAAAGGAAAAACCTAAACTAACTTTTTTTCTTTCTTCTAGCTTCTTTTTTTC